AGCCCCCAACCCCTTTTGGAGCAGGGCCTCCTGCTTGAGCAAGGGGGGGTTGGACTAGATGATCTCCAGGGTCCCCTCCAACTCTGCTATTCTATGATTCTGGGAGGGCCTCCTGCTTGAGCAAGGGGGGGTTGGACTAGATGATCTCCAGGGTCCCCTCCAACTCTGCTATTCTATGATTCTGGGAGGGCCTCCTGCTTGAGCAAAGGGGGGGTTGGACTAGATGATCTCCAGGGTCCCCTCCAACTCTGCTATTCTATGATTCTGGGAGGGCCTCCTGCTGGAGCAAAGGGGGGGTTGGACTAGATGATCTCCAGGGTCCCCTCCAACTCTGCTATTCTATGATTCTGGGAGGGCCTCCTGCTTGAGCAAAGGGGGGGTTGGACTAGATGATCTCCAGGGTCCCCTCCAACTCTGCTATTCTATGATTCTGGGAGGGCCTCCTGCTTGAGCAAAGGGGGGGTTGGACTAGATGATCTCCAGGGTCCCCTCCAACTCTGCTATTCTATGATTTTGGGAGGCCCTCCTGCTTGAGCAAGGGGGGGTTGGACTAGATGATCTCCAGGATCCCTCCAACTCTGCTATTCTATGATTCTGGGAGGCCCTCCTGCTTGAGCAAAGGGGGGGTTGGACTAGATGATCTCCAGGGTTCCAGGATCCCTCCAGGGATCCAGGGTTCCAGGATCCCTCCAACTCTGCTATGATGATAGCAGATTGGCCCAAAGATGTCGGGCTGATGATTCTGGGAGGGCCTCCTGCTTGAGCAAAGGGGGGGGGGGTTGGACTAGATGACCTCGAGGATCCCCTCCAACTCTTGGAACCCACCTTCTCGGAGGACCACCCTCTCGTAGGCAGGGAACTTGGTCTGGACTGGTTGGGCAGACAGATCTTCTCGGCTTTTCCTCAGGTTTCGCTTGGAGCTGCGCAGACCTCGGAATCTCCAGAAATCCGCCCGATCCCCCCCGGCGGTCTTTGGAAGGGTGTACTGGACACTGGCCAGCTGTTCGGCTCTGGGCAAAACAGACAGGAGGATGAAACAATGGAGGACCAGCAAAGGGAGGGCCTGATGACCTCAAGGAGGACAGCTGCCCGGCTCCAACATAATCAAAGTGAAAAAAAGGGGTTGGAGAAAACCCTTTTGAGAATCCCCCTGGACGGCAAGGAGATCCAATCGATCACCTCTAAAGGAAACCAACCCTTGCTGTTCGTTGGAAAGCTGGTTGAGGGGAGAAAAATATCCATTGGAAAGCTGCAGATAATCGGCCTAGGAGCGAGTTTGCAAGCCTCACCGAACCAAAGTTTTAAGCTAACATCATTAAAAATGTACCAGACACGTTTCTAATGTGCTGATTTGTGTCTGATTTTTGTGATGCTTTTTCTGCTTAGCTCCAGCCACTGCTTCCTGTTGCGGGCCCTAAGGAGCCCGGGCGGAGAGGCGAGGAGTGGGTTGGGAGGGGAGGGGCGAGTAGAGGCTTGTGAGACGCCCCTCGACGTGAGTGACATCGAGTTGGCCACGCCCACCCAGTCCCATGACCACCTTACCCACATCCACCCAGCCAGTCATTAGGCAGATCGTATTAGTGGTCCGTGGGATTTAAAATTAGAAATTTAGTTGCCCCTGAGGTCCGAAAGGTTGGTGACCCTTAAATACAACCCTGAAGTTCTTCTAAACGGAACTTTGGCTGCCCCGCCAGAGGTTGGCTTGAGGAACAACGCTGAAACACACCTGTTTTTGTTGGGGATGATGCCTCTTTCCACTTCCTTGTGATTCTTGCCGATCCGGATCGCCAACCAGGAGCCCAGCTTGCCGTTGTACAGGGTGTCCACCACGCGGAAGACTTCCCCTTTGTTGAAGCTCAGCCCGTAAGGAGACTCCTTCTCGTACTCAAAGTGGGTCCGGATGTAGAACGAATCTCCCACGTCGGATTCCACGATGCGCCGATAAACTGTTGAGAGAGAGAGAGAGAGAG